CGAATGAGACCAAATTTGAATGTATGCATGTGTGTGAACAGATTTTTGACTTTTGTCCACGTTTTATTCTGAATCGATTTTAAAAATTCAAAAATTATGCTGAAGATTTCATTTGGTAGTCGTGCTGATTAATTTTGGATAAGAATCGGCCGAGCCGTTTCTTCATAATTTACTTGTAAAAAAACTTTTTTCAATGAAACTTTGCATTTAGATAGATCATGGTCTTAAAGAACATACTAAAATTTTACGACCCTACGGCGAGTAGTTTAATTTTAAAAATTCATCAAAGTTTGAAAAAATTTGATAGTCAAAATTTTGTTGGTTTAGCAAAATTTTGATTCTTTAGCGAAATGATTAAATATATCAGATCAAAATATTATTAACATATAAATTACAAAAACACGTAGATCTAAATGTATGGTCTATATAGATACTTAAATATTATATTTTCTATTCATGCGGTACAATTGTCATTTATAATAAAAAAATTAAGAATTTAATTTGTAGTGTATTAAAATGATTTGTAATTTAACACTGTTAATAAAATTTTCTTTTAAACTCAATATTTATTATTTTGTAATAGTTTAACAGAATTAGTATTGATCATTTACATACCGAATATGTAGTTTCATTCACTAATTTTGATAAGAGGCAATTAGTAGTGCAACTAGGAGTGCATGGCATTGTGCTCCAAGGCCGTGATATCAAATGCTTTCAAAGAGTTTATAATAAATGTTACAGCATTCATCAATCGAATTTTATAGGTAGTATAAAAGCGCTTATAAGTTGGATTATATATATTTATATGAAAAGTAAATAAACAAAAATTAATCAAGCGGAATTAGAATGAACGAACTTGTTTCATATTTCAAAGAATTATATTATTTAAATTACAAATTTAAATTTATTTATTTCAAATATATAAGGGAACTTCGGAATTTTTGGAGATACAAATTTAGTTTTCACAACACATGTGAAGTTTTAAATTTAAAACAAAATTTCCTCTCCAAAAAACTAATTGTTTTTTTCACAAGCAACACAATTTTCAAATCATTCAAATATGATGCTTTGTTCGATCAAAAACTACGATTTTTTACACTTTTAGCTCTTTATTCCTGAAACTCTAATCTTTGCCAAAAACTAATTACCACATCCTCTCATCATCGCGAATTGATTGCTTTTTATTATTTAAATTATTTTTTATTTTCTCTGCAATAAAAGATTTTATTTAGGTGGTGCTATTATTCCAATGTATAGAGAATCCTGATTACGCGTATTACAGAATTGAGTGCATGGTAACAAACATGTTTCTTCTAAGTACTTATTGATTTTACAATATAGAGTATAATGAAGATATATGTCTTTAGCATTTATCTCAATATTACAACAGAATGCATTAAAATATTTTCTCAATATTTTATTTTCTTACATTGGACTTTGCTACTGCTTATTTTAATGGTTATTTCAAAATACGCAATTGATTGCGCATTGTCTGATTTATACAATTGATTTATATGCTTCATAAATAATTTTTGCAATATATATATATATATATATATATATATATATATTTAAATAAATAATATATATATATATATATATAATGTTCTCTGTTATTATCTAATATAGATGTACATATAACACATGTTACGTACCAATATTATTATATGTATTTATAGGCTCGCTTATGCCTCCTATCGACAGTAGCAGTTTCTTCCAAATCCTACAACTGTAAAAACATTCATATTCGCAGCTTTCAATGTTTCTCATGTATTATTCAAAGTTCGGTTCGAATTCGCGAAACACATATTTTGATAATGTTGGCCCAGTCGAAAATCTGTTTACTGTGGCACTAATATTTTATTACAGGCTAGGGAGATATTTTCACGGAAGGGATGTCAAAAATTGTGAAAATCTCGATGCTTCAAATTGTGGGTTACGTTAGAATAAAGTAATATTGGTATATTTAACGACATTTTTCCTATGCAGTAAGGATACATAAAACAACATATAATGAAACAGATAGTAATCATAAATTTTTATTTATACAAATGTTATAGGAAATTATAGGAAACTATTTTGGTATTTGGTCAATATAAAATTTATTAGAACATATATTGCATTATGGATTTTTAGATATTTGGATATTATTTTCTATTATGCTGTACTTTATTCATCATGCGGTATAATTATATTTGTAATTTAAAATAATTAATGGTAGTTCGATTTTTTGGACTAATATTAATATTCATTTAAATTTTAAAGTATTTTCAACTATTAGTAATAGAAGCTACAAATATTTAGTTACATATTTTACATATATATATATATATATATTATGTACAAGTGATAAACAGTTTTGATATTTTTCGAATATGCTAAAACTTTGTCATTTTTTTTTCATCCCTATTATTTTCTCGATTTCGTATGTCGAGAGTTTCTATGTTTTTGCTCTTTCGACAAGTCACCGGCTAAACGATGATTTAGCACTCTCTTCTGAACGCGAACCCGAGGACGAGTGACTTATAATAATTCGTATTTGGGGAGTAGAAATAACAAGGGATGATTTGGTATAATTTGAAATATTGTGCTATTATATTTGGAAGTACCTTAATAGAGGAGCATACATGAAGTATGTTTAACCTTCGTGGACACATTGTTTATTTTATATAGGAATGGATTTCATCGGTTTATGATTGTAATAAATCGATATGATAATACTCAGTTGTTTCGTGTGATGTGATTTGTTATTGACTATAAACTCATATACAATAATTTATATTTAATATTTGTCACAAATATTAATGGTATTACGCAATTGCGAAAGCCAATAATAATGAAAGTGATTTCATATCGGTTTTATTATTATTCATCAAATATGATTTGCATAATATATAAATTAAACTGATGTATTAATATTTTAATATTACAATACTCTTACCAATAAATCTTGTTTTGTATACGCGCATCGATTTGATGAAAATACGGTGGAGCGATCGTGTACATTTATATGTACAATATATAAAATTTATAAAACAAACTAGAATGTTCCTGAAACTCTAGAACTGTTCAGTTATTGTGATTATAGTATTAGATCGGTGGTATAGAGAGGTTGATAATATTAATTTAAATAAAATTCATTATCATTTCACAATGTATTTTTTAATTTATAATAGCACTGATGAATGAATTAGATATGCAATAACACAAGGAATTATTTTAGTAAATTAAAAAACAATTAAACACAAAGGTTCTATAAGCTCATGACACTTCTTCTTTATATTGAGAGTTTCTTTACCTGTTTTCAACCTAATAGTTATTTTCTCTATTTGTGATTACCTTTTACATAGGATAGTTTTAAGTATTCAGATATTCAATATAAATATTTAAATATGATTTAAGTGTGAAGCTTAATAATTAATATTTAATAAATTTCATCATCTTATTCAATTTTATGCATAATTTGCGGCTCTCGTAGCAGAAGTTTTAAATATATTATAAGGGTACTTAATCTATCAACTTTAATAATAACTTTAAGAACAATATTAATTATATATACATATTTCTGTATTACATATCGTTTTCCCTTGGAATATCCTTGTTTAATATAATCCCTTATATTAAATTCATGTGAACTCACCATATGAAATAATGTAACGCTCCAAGTGCTAAACAGTTCACATTAAACGTCTCCGGATTCCATACGGGCGAAAACTTTGAACACAACATCTGCATAGACAATTCAAGCCAAATATATAAGTTTAAATATAGTATAAGCAAGATGTCTCAGTGTATAATAGTAACTATACATAGTAATATACAAATGTTGGTACAATGGGTAAATAAGGAAATATTATGAACAACAACTATATTTTTTTTAATTTTCCGTGTCCTATGATCTCGCTGTATTTTTTATTACCTAGTTTGATTAAAATGCAATCCATTAGTTATTATTTTTGTTTGCAATAACTTTTTATATACTTCTGATTGTTACAAAGCACTTATCCTATAGTTTTTACAAGCAACTCATGTATAAGTAGCAACTAATGTATAAGTAGCATAGTCATAGCTACATAATATACTTCATATAATTTATAGATATACAAGTATTACATCTGAAATCTGATACATAATAATTTATCTTAGGTAGCATACTCTTATATCACCTGTAAAATGTACTTTATATAATATATAGAAAGTATTAACCCTTTCCTTAGGAACATCGAATATATGCGTCTCCGGTGTGACGGCAAGATCGCATTTAGATATAAATTATTGACAATTTTTAACTAATTCTGATTTGTTAATATGGTTTTAGTTTTCTAGAGTGTAATATATAATTTTGAAATATATTTTTATTGATAAAGATTGGAAAATTTAAGAATAGTTTGTGTGACAATTGAGTGGAAAACACCTCCGTAGTAGCAGGAGTATGAAATATGATTCAGATTGCAACAAAAAAGTAATAATGTGTTTTAAAAGTATTTTTTATTTAGTGGAATGTAGGTTGAAGCTTGCAAAGTAACTATTATTACATTAATATTAAAATGAACATATTTTGTTAAGCTATGATAGGTTATTGTTAAGGTGAATACAAGGAATAAAGCATCTATTATTTGGAAGGAAATTATTCATACATTTAGTACGAATACTTTAGTATTCGAAAAGAGTTGAATATACAAAAATGCAATATAGCGGAGAAATAATTTATGGATAGATTATTGTTTTTCAAATTCTTGGAAAGTTTGTCTATTCGGTTATCGTTTCTCATACAATTCCAAATTATGCAAAATATGTAATTAGTAGTTGATTAATATCCAATCTAATATATCCTCCTGCAAATTCATCAAAATCCTGTCCCATAATTCGTAGTCCTCCGATCCTGCGTGCAATATATCTTGTGTTCACTTTGCGTGAAAGTGGCTGCCGTAGTGTATATCGGCAATAGGTCTATCTATAGTCAGCTGTTTCTCTAATAACACATGTTCCTCTATCCGCAGATACTGAACTTGTGTACCGGGACGCCTACGGCGGACTCTCCATACTGAATGCTGAGAATATGACCACGAGGGTGCTCATGACCAACTCGACATTTGTGAGTACTTGTTAACTACTATATTACTTTCATAATTCGATTAAATGAGAATATATGGGAAAGTGGGATAAATGAAATTGATCTTAACACTCGGGAAGTATTATATATGTGGAATGTATCATATCAAACGACATTTTTGAAATACTATCACTTCTTTGTTTCCATTTTGCACTCTTTTTATTTAGTTCAATTTTTGATGCATCGCAAATCCATCGAAAATTTGTTCTGCTTGGTTTTTCTTAAATTGGACAAATATTCACTTGCTTTAGATTAACGTATTTGAAGACAAGCATAATGCTCATAAAATGCAGTTGAAAGCGCAATGTTTATAATTAAAATATAATATTTTAAAATGATTTTTTTGACAAATTTTATATCTATAAGAACAACATTTCAAATTTTTCTATGTGCAATACTAATATAATTTAGAAATTTTTACTTAGCAACTTCTGCCCTTTAAACTTATGTAATTCTATAACTAATAATAGACAAACTTGATGACCATAATATTCTACTGTCTCTAAAGAATCACTATGTGTCTTAGCCTTACCATACAAAAATAAACTTAACTTTTTGTGCAAAAATAGTTTATAACCTGAATTATATCTGAATAGTTAACAATTTTAACATAGACGCTAATACTATTTTATATTCACCCGCACAAAATCTTCTTTTAATATTGATTGCCTTGAATAAAGTTTACGTAATCATATAATCATATTAAGATTTTATACATATGGTAAACGCCTTTAGCAATACATATTTAATTTCAAATATTTTTTTCTTTTACAGTAGTACTATGCTCACTGAACATATTTTTTGTAGCCCAGGCCAATCAGAAGAAAAGTAGTCTAAATTATTTTTTTAGACCATTCCTGTTTATTTGAGACGCAATTTGTGGTTTTGTCGTCGAAGACACCGTCAACAGGCTTGCACGTGCACTTTATCTTTGCATACTTTGTTGCAAGTCTATGAGTCATGCTAATTGCGTTGTTCATATTGACTGTTATAAAGAATTTATAATATTATTTATTAGCCCTTATATACATATAAAATCTTTATACATGATGTTTTTTCAAACTTTGATGAATTTTTAAAATAAACGTTTATCGAAGGGTCGTAATATTTTAGTGATATCTATAAGATCATAATATCTATCGTCAAATAAATTCATAAAATTCGTTAAATAAAAATTCAACAGTTAATACAAAAACACAGACTGGCCGAGATACATCGAATGACTTTTAAATGTTTGAAATCGGTCCATCCATTTTTGAAAAACGCCGACAAGATGTCGAAGAGGAAACATAAAATTATCAAATCGGATTTTTTGGGGAAAACATACACTTTTTCTTTAAGAAAATAATGAATATATTTCTTTCAATCTCTACCATTCTACATTTAAATCTTTATTTGTAATATTCTTCACAAAAGTCTTTTTGATAACTTTCTTCAACTTTTCACTTTACCTTATTTAGTATTCAGTACGTCTTTCTTAGATGTTCTGAAATAAAAAAACAATTAGTCAGTACATGCGGAATTAAATACCGGCATTTAAATTCAAATGAAGTTCTCATTTAAGATATCTTGTAATTTGTAATTAGCATAAAAGTGTGCAAAGTGCAGTTGAACTAAATAATAAACGAAAGATATAATGAGCAGCGTTTGTATTGCACCATTGTTTCTGTAATGGATAGTTGTTATTTATGATAAGAACTCGCAAACTAATTGCTTTCATCCTATTAATATAATAAGATACTATGAAAAGCTCTGAATGTATACCAATATAGATGAAATATGTGCAGTTTGTTTTGTGAATTGTCTTAAAAACCATTCTACTAAAACTGAGTTTGGTTAATTACATTAATAAACTTCAATTGAAATTAGTTTGCCAATCTAATCTACTTTATATCTGAATTATTAATGTGGGATATTGTTCATCTGAATTTAATTGTGTAAGAAAATGAACACTGTAATCTACGATCCTATACATTTGAGTTTATTTTCTTCTTTATTAGTAATAGTCTAATATGACACAATCACTTACCCTAATTGATCCATGTATATTGCAGGTCATATTCCAAATTTTTCGTTATTTTGCCAAACTAGTGGTGTATGGCATTGCGCCTTAAGGCAAACTGCTGGAACCTACCGTACCAGAATTATATATTCGAGGAAAAAAAAATCAGTAATCAATAAAAATTGATCAATGATTTACAACAATTGTTTTATACTTTTTCAAATAGATAATTATAATCACTATATATTTTCTAGTTCATAAAATATACATACAGTGAGGATCTTATCGCTCAAAGCACTAGAGAAAATTTACATTAGCAGAAGGGGAATGAATAAATCCACCTGAGTTAAGATTAGAATAACGCATTTGAAATATATACATTTTGAAACTGAATTGGAAAATTTAAAATTCATATTTGAAGTATAAAACTTCTGAACTGAAATTTGCTTGAACCGTATAAGTAAACCTTAAAAATGAAAAATCTTGCTACGGAACCCGACAAAATTGTAACAAAAAAATTAATACTATTTTTTAAAAACTTCATCAAATATTTAATAATTTGATGTGCATACCAAATATTATTTTTTTACTTTTTCCTCTGTATCTCCGAACCTGCTAGACCTACTTTGCCAAAATTTTATCGACTATTAATTTCGTCATTACAAGTAAAATGTTTTTTGAATCTTTCAAATCGAGTACTCCGTTCTCTCAAAAACAGAATTATCATTTTTGTCACTTTTTGCCCCATATCTCGGAAACGGGTAAACATGTCTTCACCAAAAACTAATCAGCGCGTCTTCATATCAATGGGAATCAAATGTTTTTTGAACCATTCAAATCGGTTGATTTGTGCGCCCAAAATGTGGTCCAAACATACATTTATTCTACACACACACACACACACGATGTATGCCAAAATGTTCAGAAACCTTCGAAACGTAAAGATATGCAAAAAAAATATTTTTATTTTTTTGCGATTACTATAACTCACTCTACGGGAAGTTAATAATTATATTTTTATTTGATATGACTCATAATTATAAATTAATTCTTTAACGTTGTCAAAAAAACCAATATCAATATTTTTTACTTTGCACAAATACGGGAAATGTAGCAATTTTTGCAAAGAAATATCAATTTCATCATTATTTCAAATGTTATCATTTGCAAAAACGTAACTCTACATCTTATAAGGGAACAAAAAATAAGTTTTTATAAACATATACATATACAAAAAACAATTGCAAAACAATTCACTTTCTGTTTTTTCATAATTGAAAAGCCTAGCTAAGATTTTAAATATTGATATTAGTTTTTTTCATTGGAATATAAAAAACATCCCATTTCAGAAAAAATTCATGTTGCTGAAAAAATTGTGATATAATATCACTGTCCATATCCATCCATTATAACGTCAAAACGTTGTATTTTGAATCTAGATAATTGAAAGCTCTTAACAGATATTATTGAAATACATCATACACCTTTTGCAGCGTACACCCGAAACAAATTAAGCATAATATTCTTTTTCCGACACGACACGACAAAGCACTCACAATTCCTATAATTTACATTCCATGTCATGACCGCGTAATGCGCACATCCAGCACCCAGATTTGTTGACATTTACTTGACAGACGCGACATGATTTAATTTTGTAGGCTGGAATGGCGGAAATTGTTGGAAAACTTGTTCGATATTGGAACTGGATTCAATTCAAGAGAATTTATTTATAACTAACCAAATTAACCAAAAAACTCATTGCTATTAAATAAAATTTCTCCCACTAAAAATTATTAGAATAATTTGCTTATTTTTTCATATTTTGAAATTGTTGTGATTATTACAGTATTCTTCTATTTGGTATTTGAGCTAGTGCGATGCTCAAAAAATTGATCAAGTCTTGAGTTCAATAATAAATAAAGTATACTTACAAGTAACAAATAACTGCTTATGCCTAAAAATTTTTTATCAAAAATAAAAACTTCAGTATGCAATTATTAGAGCAATATTAAATCACCATAATCAATAAATTTACATGTGGCACTTTTACCAAATTAAATAAACTATATATTATGATTAGTTTTAGTGAATTTTTCAAAATTAGCTTCATCCTTTCATCCTTATTATTTTATAAATTTGTAAATTACAACATATGGTCTGAATTCATAATTAACTTTCCGAATGAGAAGTTTGTTTTCATCAAAAATTCCGATTTGCCAACTTTGTTTTCTCGACGTTTCAAGCCATTCTGAATCGAGTGAGACCAAATGTGGAAAAAGTATGTATGTGTATGTGTTTGTGTGTGAACAGATTTTTTACCGTAAATCGACGTTTTCTCAGAAACGGTTGGACCGATTTCAAAAATTTAGAAGGCATTCGATGCACCTCGATAAGGACTATAGTTTGTCAGTTTTGTGCGACGATCGTCCAAGCCGTTTCTTTATAAATAGCAGAAAAGTAAAAAATTTTCGTCCACGTTTTAGCCCACAATTTTGAGTCGATTTTGAAAATTCAAAAACCGTTTGAAAGATATTGGTTGGGAGCCGTGCTTTATTAGTTTTTGGTAGAGATCGGTGGTTTCCTTGTAATAAAGTGTTAAAAAAAATTTTAGACGATTTTTATTATTATTTTTATGACGGTAGATACCATAGTCTTATAGTTCATACTAAAATATTATGGCCCTACGACAACTAGTTTAACTTTAAAAATTCGTCAGAGTCTGCAAAAATTTGTATGCTATATTTTCTAAAGTCAAAATCGGACGGCAATTTTTATTGAGGCTAAACCGGTGGAGCGAGGGTTATATATGATTTTAAAATATTGAATACTATTTAATTATACAGTAGACAACAGTTATTTTTTTATTTTTTAATTAGCATTGCGGATCTTTAATAAGAACTTTATTATTCGATTGCATATGTTATATTATTTTATAATTAAGGTGTTATATTTAGATTATATTTTAGTTGTATAAAAT